GATGACACATGGCCCCTTTTATTTAGCTTTAGGATGATCAAGTTTACACCCTACATTCACCCCCTTAAACTTGATCACTCCTTTGTTGTCTGCACACCAATCTTCTCTTGTAAATCCTTGAACCTCTGCCTTCCAAGGGGTTTTGTTAAGATATCAGCCAACTGAGTTTCAGTCTTGGTATATTCCAGTTTTAGCACTTCGTTTTCAACACACTCACGTATAAAGTGAAACCTGGTATCTATGTGTTTACTCCTTTCATGATGAACCGGGTTTCTAGCAAGAGCAATAGCGGACTTGTTATCCACCTTAAGAACTGGACTCATACACTTCTTGCCCAACAAGCTTTCCATTAATTTTGTGAGCCATATTGCTTGACAAGCTCCTCCAGTAGCAGAGATGTACTCAGCTTCACAGGACGATAAGGCAACCACTCTTTGTTTTTGTGAAACCCATGTGATTGGACTACTTCCCAAGAAAAATATAATTCCAGTTGTGCTCTTCCTATCATCAATATCCCCTGCAAGATCACTATCACTATAGCCAACAAGACACTCATTTCCTTGACCTCTCTTGTACACACAACCTTTGTTAACTGTCCCCTTTATGTATCTCAGAATTTGCTTCACTGCATTCATGTGTGCAACTGAAGGAACCTCCATATATCTGCTCATTATGCCTACTGAGTAGGCAAGATCAGGACGGGTGTTTACCAAGTACCTCAAGCTTCCTATAATACTTCTATACATGGTGGAGTCTACTGACATCTCCCCATCATGTTTGCTATACTTGCTTCTTGGTTCCATGGGTATACAACATGGATTGCATTCTCTCATTCCCATCTTTTCAAGGATCCTCTTGGCATAGCTGGTTTGACACAGAGTTGTAGCCTCTTTTCCTTGCTTTACTTCAATCCCTAGATAGTAGCATAAGAGTCCAAGATCACTCATTTCAAACAAATTCATCATATCCTGCTTGAATTCTTGGATGAGTTTGTTGCTTGAACCTGTGATAATGAGATCATCTACATACACCCCAACAATGATCACTTGTGAGTCTGTGTTCTTCATATACAGTGCATGCTCATAGATGCATTTTGAGAAGCTTAAAGATTTCAAACATGTGTCTAGCTTCTCATTCCATGCTCTAGGAGCCTGTTTTAGGCCATACAAGGCCTTGTGAAGCCTTAGCACTTTGTGAGAATTCTCTGCATCTCTGAAGCCCTCTGGTTGCATCACATATACTTCCTCCTTTAATTCCCCATTTAGAAATGCTGTTTTTACATCTAAATGGTGAACATTCCATTCCATATGTGCAGCATGTGCAAGCAAAATTCTCACAGTTTCCATTCTTGCAACTGGAGCATATACCTCTGTGTAGTCTACTCCATATCTCTGAGCATATCCTTTTGCTACTAACCGGACCTTGTACTTGATTACTTCACCTTTTGGATTCTTTTTAAGCTTAAAAATCCACTTTAGTCCAATTGCTTTATGACCCTGTGGTAAGTCAGTCAACTCCCAAGTCCCATTCTTCTGTATGGACTCAATCTCTAGGGCCATTGCTTCTCTCCACTTTTCACACTCTGCAGCTTCTGTGTAACTTGATGGTTCTTCCAATGTCAGAAAGCATAACCCCACTTCTTCACCTACTTCTGTAGTATTATCATAAATTTCTTGCAATGACCTGAAATTGAGATGCCCAGAACTCGAACTTGAACTGCTGAGTGAAGGGTGTGAGGTTGTTGGAGACTCATTTGGAGTTGATGGTAGTGATGCAGCATTATCTTCTGCATACTGTGAATCATTCCCTGATTGATTATCATCCTTTTTTCCTTCTTCCAAGGTGATTGCAAAAGTGCTTCTGTTACATTCTCCCTCATTATCTTGGTCAGATTCCCATTCCCAACCTTTATCCTCCTCAAATATAACATCTCTGCTTACCAGAATGTTCCTTTTAACAGGATCAAACAGTCTATAAGCCTTGGACCCTTCTTCATAGCCAAATAGAACTGTCTTTAGACTTCTATCTGCAAGTTTATTAAGATGTGGTACCACTACTTTGGCATGAGCCACACATCCAAATACACGTAGATGATGTACTTTTGGAGACTTGCCATACCATGCTTGATAGGGAGTCATTCCATCCACACTCTTGGTTGGTGCCCTATTCAATAGATAAACTGATGTTCTGACAGCTTCACCCCAATAACAAGCTGGCATTCCTTTGTTCTTCAGCAGACATCTTGCCATCTCAACAATAGTTCGATTTCTTCTTTCTACCACCCCATTTTGTTGAGGTGAGTAGGGTGCTGTTAGGTGTCTTTTGATGCCTTCATCATTACAGAATTGCTTGAACTCAGTAGAGGTAAACTCCCCCCCTCTATCCGTTCTAAGACACTTCACTTTCCTTTCAGTTTCATTTTCTGCCAAGTTCTTGAATCTTTTAAAAGATTCAAGTGCCTCTCCTTTCATTTTTATCAAGCCTACCCACATAAATCTTGAGTAATCATCAACAAGTAGTAAGAAATACTTGTTACCTCCTGGGGTAGATGGTGAGATAGGTCCACAGAGATCTCCATGTACCAACTCAAGCTTCTCCTTTGCTCTGAATGATGTCTTGTGAGGATATGAAGTTCTGTGTTGTTTGCTCACCAAACATCCATCACAAATTTGGTTTACCTGAGGTATCTCTGGTATTCCATCTGCCATCTTTTCACTTGATAATTTCTTGAGTGCTTGGAAATTCAAGTGCCCATATCTAGCATGCCATAACCATGACTGATCTGCCAAATTTGTTAACAAGCATACTCTTTCTACTATCTTCAGTTTGGCTATGAAGAGTTTGTTTGGTTGCCTCAGTACTTTGATCATCAGCCTATCATTAATGTCATGAATTCTCAACTCACCCCCTTTAATTGTCACTTGACTACCATTTTCATCTAGTTGTCCAATACTGATAATGTTACTCTTTAGTCTTGGAATGTAATACACATTTGACAAAACTAAGTGCTCACCATTGTTGCACTGGAACATTACAGAGCCCTGCCCTTCTATACCAATCATTGATCCATCACCAAATCTCACTTTACCTAGGACAGATTTATCCATTTCAGTAAAATGAAACTTGTTACCTGACATGTGATTGCTTGCTCCAGTATCAAGATACCAGACTGACTTCTCCTCTTCACCAGTCTTCAGAGTATGGGCTTTGGTTAGTTCACATGATTCTATCATCAATAATGCTGGTTCTTCTACTTCTTCTTGTTCAGCAATGTGTGCTTGTTCTTCTCTTTCCTCTGAAAAACATTCTGAGGCAAAATGCCCCATTTTCCCACAGTTATAGCATTTGATCTTGGATTTGTCAAATTTTTTCTTTTGTTGAGGTTCCTCTTCTCCCCTTTTAGGCCAGTTGCTCCTGCCTCTGCCACGTCCTCTTCCTCTTCCACCTCTACTATTTCCTTGTTCTCTTGAGTTTCTTTTTGATGAATCACTTTCTTCTCTTGCTCTCCACTCAGCTTGATCGAGTAAGAAGTGCAGTTTCATCTTCTTTTGAGCCATAATCCTGCATCCTTTCTTCATATGCTTTAAGTGACCCTATGATTGCATCTGAAGTTTTCTTCTCCAAATCACCAAATTCTTCTATGGTGGATGCAATTTGCAGAAATCTGGGTGTAATGGATCTCAGCAATTTTTTTACTACCTTTACTTCTTCCACAATATTTCCCAGTCCTCTCAGTTTTGTAACTATGATCTGCATTTTGCCAGTATAGTCATCTATGCTTTCTCCTTCATTCATCTTCATGGATTCAAACTCCCTGAGTAGAGACTGACTCCTTACTTCCTTGACTTTATCAGCCCCTAAATTCATGTTGCTCAACATGTTCCATGCTTCCTTAGCCGTTCTCTTGGCACCAAGTTGCAGTAGAGTGTCCTCACTTATTCCTTGATAAATTGCTGCCAACGCCATCTTGTCTTTACGTTTCTCTACAGCTCCTTCACTTTCTACTGCATCCCACACCCCTTGGGCTATCATAAAAACTTCCATTTTGATAGCCCAAGCAGCATAGTTGGTCTTGGTGAGCATGGGGTATCTCAGGTTGATAGTTTCTTTCTCATGTGAGTTTGCTTCTTCACTTGAGTCTCTTGACATGGTGAATTACTTCCGCGAAGAGCTCTGATACCAAATGTTGGAAGTAAAACACATATACGAATGTATTGAAGACTATACTAAGCAAATAACATATGAACACATCAAGAACAACGTAGTCTGTTAACACACTCTTTTCATTCACTTTTTAAAGAGGAAAAACCCCAATGTTACTTTGGGATGAAAAAACCTCTTACTCACTCCCTAACATATATACATGCTGAACCTACCACTACATGAGTAATGCACGTAGAAGAAATAAACTAAAAACAAGGAAACTTCCCTCCCACGTTCATACGTGCATGAGTGAAGTGGTGAGGGTTACAAAATGCATGCGTGTAAAACAAAATGCAGCCTATACATGATGACTAGGATGACACATGGCCCCTTTTATTTAGCTTTAGGATGATCAAGTTTACACCCTACAAGTCAAACATATTTTGAAAAAAGGAAAAAAAAGTGTTGGCCGGTAATGTTGAATACAGGGAACCTGCAGCAAATACGGGAAGGAGAAGGGGTAGGTACCTAGCTAGGTAGGATTGTGGAAACAGAAAATGAAAAACACAAAATGTAAATATCAGGCTTTTTATACGAAGTAAGGAGTATCAAATTGGGGATTTTTATAATTCCATTTGTTTGTATCAATGTCATTAATTTTATTTAATTTGAACTTTTTTTGCATCCATTATATTTGTCACAAATCCATTCCCATGTTATTCTTATTAATTAGAACTAATTATATGTTTATGATTAAAATGAAGATTTTTTCAAAATCGTGATTAATGACAAGAATAAAACGAAGTCAGAATCACATTAGATCGAGTATATAGGAGAATCTCAAAAGAATACTAGCAGCAAAGAATGAAACTGTAGAAATGTAGAATCATTTAAAATTGAAAAAGAATTAAAGTATTATAAACTAAGCTACAATGTCATAGTAATATAGAGAAATAAGAAAGGGAATTGAACCATCAAACACATAGAGCTAATTGTCATCTGGGCATAGAGAACTTCACACATAAAGCATCAACCGTTAAGTAGACTCTCGGATGATGGCGGTGACATGCAAGACCGTGACGTCATTTCCCTCCTCCTGCGGCAAAAACTCACAGATTAACCTATCATTTATTTTCACGCGATTCTCTTGGCATAGATCAAACCAACCCCCGGTCAGCCATGTTCGACCATCACCCCACGCCTTTGTGTTAGTTTTCCATTCTTTTCCGCTCGGGTCACGCAAGAGTATAGATGGAGGCAATATGATATCCTCGAGCACATCCATCGGTATGTACTGCAAACATTTAAGATAATGTTATTGTTATTTTTATTTAGGAAGTTATTAGGATAGTCCAATACTCATTTTTTATATCAAATGTTGGGAATTTACCAAGTCATTGCGCTTTGTTTGATGGATTCTTGTCACAAAATAAGTGTTTATTGGTTGATCATAATGCCCATACTTGAAAATATCAAGTCCATAATGGTCGGGGACATCCCTAATTTCCACCTTGGACTTTTTCTTCCCAACACAACCATCTCTCTTAGGTCGTCTCCCTATACAATCAAATGAAAATTTCACAAATAAAACTACAAAAATACTGGCTCAGCAAGTAAAAAAAAAGAAAAATAATACAAGTTGTTTGTATGTGTTGTGTCTCTTTAAACTTACTCTTTGAATGTGGAACATCGGTATCCAATGCTACCGCCTCCTTCTGTTTGTCTTTCCCTTTACCACCATGATGATTACCACCAACCTCTGTGTCGGTTTCTTTCTTGATCACCGAAAGAGTTTTAAGTGCCTTTCCACTGTCATTTTTTCCCACCCTTTTCGTAACATCGATCTTCACATTTGACTTGTCGTCAAATAACAAAAAGTCAAAAACGCCTTTGCCGTCATACTCAAAAATCAAATGATGGCCACTTTTTAAACCGTGGTCGGCCACGAACTTTTCCCAACCCTTGTTGAAGTAAACACCAACTTCAGTTTGTGTTATCCTCACGCTCCAAATTTTCATATCTGAATTCCTAAGTAATACACTTTTTGGCAAAGATTTTTGCAAGAACTCCCTTCGCACGGAATTCATATATGAAATGGTGGGGATTTCCTTTCCAAGAAAAAAGGGTTAACTAATGAGGAATTGAACGTGAAAAGATCAGTTAACAAATAAAACACACATAAACAAAGCATATATATGTTGTTGATCAGTTAAGCACCTAGAGACTCGGTGAATTCAAATCAATGTATAAAAGAAAATTATACACAAATTGTGGTGCATAAAACTTAAAAGGGTGAATGCGATTTTACCATTCATTCAAGTACAACTTATAATATACGGTACAATTTTGTAAACATCATGCACCAAACGGAACTTGCAAAATCGAGAGAATTTCAAAAGAGACGAATATGGCTTGCAAAATTCAGAGAAATTCAAAATCCATCCCGGCCATTTGATTTCATGTTCAACTCTCACACACACACTAATATTTTTCTTAGCTTGTGAATTAAAATTAATAAAAGGTACTGAAATCTTTGGAAAGAACACAAACCATTGTTCTTGAACAAGTCTCCGGACAAAAGCGTTTGTGAAAGCTAAACGGAACGTTATCCGCCATCTCAATCAATTCCTCGAAAGATAAGGATAGAAGCTAGTTCAATTGCGGGGTTGATCGAGTATAGAATGGCAGTAATGGGATGAATTGAACGTTTATATAAATATACTGCTGCTGACTCGGATACGTACTGTACTATATGTTTGAACAAGTGAAAAGATAGAGTCGACTGGGAGTATTATATACAGACAGCACTAAACTTGGGCCGGTTGTATTGAAGGACATGGGACACGTGTCATACATGCAGAGGGGGATGACTCATCGGTTTGTTTAAGTATATGAGCAATTGTGTGAACAAAAAGACTTGCGAAAGCTAAACTTGGTCTTCTGAATGCTGCCCATTTCCTTGAATTGAATCAAATGTAGCTAATATGAACTAACTGTGTTTAAAGCTAGCAAGGTACATACGTTGGATGGGGAGACCTAATTAATAAACAACCTGGCTGGCCGGGAATCCCGGGAAGATTATCATAATCTATCATGTACGTACAAAGCACGCAGGATAATATGATGCGGATTTTCCTCGTTGGCCAGTGTTGAAATGTTGAATACAGAAAACCTGCACTAAATACGTGAAGAAGGTGATGATCTTTTTAAACGTGCTGAAGGGGAATCCTGCACCAAAAACATGTGGAAACGGAAAATGAAAAGAAGAAGAAGTAAATATTATTAGGCTTTTTAATTTAAACCAAGCATGGAGTATTCAACGGGCGGACAATTCGATTTACTGTTCAGTTTTATTGGGTTTCGGTTCGGTTTGAGATAATTTCAACCAAACTAAAACCACTTGTGTTTCGATTTAGTTTAGTTCGGTTCCATTTGAAGTTTGGTTTTCCAAAGTACTCCGTAAAAATTATTAGGTTCAATTTAATTCGATTTGATTCAGTTTGTTATGTTTATGATTTTATTTGATCAAGTTCGTTATTTTAGAAGTACAAATTGAAAGTATTAGTCCATCTAATCTTGTTTTATTTATTATTTAAATGAAATGTAAAAGGAAATAAAAGATCGAAAGAGAAATAATAAAATACTACTACGTATAAATTAAAGCTTCTTACATTTTTTCAATCACTAGAAAAATATTCACTTCTCATAAAAAATAAATTTATAGTGTATTTATTCAAAGAAAACTAAACGAGTTAGTGGTGCAAATGTTCTAATATTAACACTTTTATGCAAATGAATCATGCAAAAAATATAAAATGCAATTCGCTATTGTTATTACTAAATCATATAGGTAGAGTGCAAAACATAAAAAATACAAATATGTCGTATCAGCTAACTTTGTCGAAAGTTAGATATATGCTAAAGATGAAGAGTCAAGAAAAATACAAAGTATTTACACACACACACACATTACAAGTTGTTCGGTTTTCGGTTTAAAATCAAACCAAACCAAACCAAACCATTCGGTTTGAGCAAATTCCTATCAAACGTTTACTTAAGTAAAACCAAACCAAACCAAACCAACAATTTTTCGGTTCGGTTCGGTTTAGTTCGGTCAAACCAAACAATTTTCCCCATCCCTACTCCATTTGTTTAATTTGTATCGATGTAATTTTATTTAACTCAATTTGAACTTTTTTGTATCCATTATCCCCATTCTCTTGTCATTCTTATTAATGTGATGTGGAGATTAGATCAAATCAGAACAGATTCAAACAGATTATACCAGGCTTAATTGATTGTACCACAACATACTTAAATCGATCATACAATATATGATCTAATGTTTTTGTTCATGAAAATCAGTTATTAGTTTCAACAATATTTAAGGTATTAAAACTCTACAAAGCTAAAATTCATTTATGTGCCCTACATTGATTTGACACAATTATTAATAAAGTGGTTGCCTGATGAACGTTATTTTTGTTAGGCGAGTTGTTACGGATCCAATCCGTAAAAAAGTTAAAAAATAATTATCTTGGGTTTTGTCACGGAAAATTTCGTGACAAAATCCGCAACAAAGTGCAATAATTATGGGTTAAAGTTGAACGATTATATTTTCCACGACATTTTCCGGGACAAATTAAGTGACGACATTTATATATAGAGGACTTTTCGGGCACTTCCCGGTGGAAAATTATTTAAATGTCTTCCCGATGGAATTTTGAGCTGAAATTTGGTATGGATAAACTAGACTTCATGAAGAACATGCTCAAAACATTTCATCAAAAAATTCCATCGGGAAGGGCCCGAAATGCCCTCGGCCGGACGGCGGTTCCCGTCAGGCCGGTTGTACAAGAAAATGACTCTCTCTCTCTCTCTCTCTCTCTCTCTCTCTCTCTCTCTCTCTCTATATATATATATATATATATATATATATATATATATTGCAATTCATTGTCAATTACTCAATACATTCATTTATTCATTGTCATGTACTAGTATGTCACATGTGCAATGCACGGTCGAAATATATATTCCATGTATTCATTAAAAAAAATATTCAAACAATAAAGCAAAACATAAAAATATTGATATTCATAATTAATGCATATATTTCAAATGTTAATACCATTCACATAAACCAAGCAATATTAGTGTAAATTTAAAGATTTTAAAAGACTAAAACAATATTTCAAAACTTAATAGCAACCATTCAGGGGCAGAGCTAGAGGGGACCAATATAGGTCATGGTCAACCCCAAATAATAATACTATAAATTGTTGAATTCTTTTTCAAATATATTCTTTAATTATATTGGTTCAATGTGTGGCTCTACCTCTATGCCCATTCATCATAAGATTTTTTACTACACGAATTCAAAAGAATATATGCATGTTGGAGATCACGGTATTTAAACTTGATTGTATACACAACTGCAAAAAAAAAGTATAATAATATATCTTAATACTTCGTATAATATCAATAAAGCAACCATCATTCACAGTAGGGAGATTATATCTCCTTTGAAAGTGTTTTTAGATTATACTACGGAGTATATCATATTTACTACGGAGTACTAAATATTAAAATAATCAATTTATTTCAAAAAGAAAAGTGGTAATAAAAAACAATTTCATTTGAATAATACCTTAACAACAACATCCAACCATTATTCCTAAAAAAATTTGGAGTTAATTAACATGAAACAAAAATGAGAAACAAAAATTCAAATAATATCTAACAACTGAAATTCTATTTTGAAAATCATTTTCTTTCTCATAATTAGAGTTGAACACATTTCGTTCTTATTCCTTCCATTGGTAATAAACTTTGTATTAGATGACAATTTTAACCACGAAACTTTAAAACCAACGGCAACGTACCCTTATTAATATTGCTTTCGATCTCCCTCCCATTGATCAAATGAAAGACAACATGTATGTATACTATTGTAGGTATTAGGAGTGTTCGTCGGTTCAGTCTTGGCGGTTTCGGTTTTATCGGTTCAGTTTTATTCGATTTCGGTTTTAGTCGGTCGGTTTTGATTGGTTTCGATTTTCAGTCGGGCGGTTTAACGACTTTAAAAATAGATGAAACCGAGAATCGGACAGAAAAAATCAAGTCAATTTTGGTCAATTTGAATTGTTTTATATCGATTTTAGCCTTTTTTTTTTACTCCAGGGGGGTCTGGGGGGGGGGGGGGCTGGGGGGAGCCTGGAGTAATCAGGGCTGAAACTCACTCCATTGAGTTTCACACCCTTGTGTGCCTAGCGGGATTCGAACACGAGACCTCTCGCTAGACACGGTAACCTCGCAACCAGCTAGGCTGGAGTGCTTGGTTATCGATTTTAGCCATTTTTGCCAATTTATTTTCATTTGACCGGTTTTTTAAGACAAAGGTATGAACCCGTAAACCGAATAACCGATGAATTAGTCACTTTCGGTCGATTTAGGTTTTATCGGTTCGGTTTTGGTCGGTTTTGGTTTTGGTCGGTCGGTTTCGGTCGGTTTGGCAGTCCGTTTCGGTTTTTCGGTTTTTTGTTCACGCACCCCTAGTAGGTATGCATATTTCCAATAAAATGCATACTCCTATCACTTGTGTCTTGTATGAAATACTTCGTATGAATCACTGCAATAACAATCATGGCTCTTTCATATATGGGACTTTAACTCTGCCGTGTGTACAAAGGGAGAGTTTTGAATTTTTGTTGAAGCATTTGTCTCACACCGGAAAGCTATAAAACAACTAAATACTATATAAGGCTTTGGGTTACTCCTCCTATCAGGTTGACCTTTTAGGATGGAACCCCGTGTCTTAACATGGTATCAGAGCCAAATCGATCCATGGTGTGGGAGCCCCTTATGAAAAATGATGACACGATTATAAAAAAATGACAATGACGAACCGATGAAAAAAATGAATGGCGGCACGATCCAGACGAAGTGTCTGGTCGTAAGTAGGGGTGTTAAAAAGTCCCACACCGGATATCTCTGAAAGAATTTAACACTATATTAAGATCTGGACTACTCTTCCTAACAGGTTGACCTTTTAGGATGGAACCCCAGGTCTTAACATGGTATCAGAGCCAGTTCCGGTTGTGGTTTGACAGCTTGTTTAGCACCCGTGATTAAGGGTAGCTTGTTAAGGGTTTGTTTGGCCCGATTATACACCCGCACCAACCACCGCACCAACACCCGCAACCCTAGCCAGCGAAATTTAGCTTTGCTGCCGCTCCCCTGCCACCGCCATCACCCAAGGGAATGCAGATGTCAAAATTGAAGCCCTAGACGAAAACCAAGCAGCAATACCCTTCAACGAACACATGAGAGTGGAGTTGAAGTTTGTTGTGCATTGGAGGAAAGTGCGGTGATCATGATCAGTGATGCGGTAACGCAAAGCAGTAATGCCAACATGTAATGCAATATACTTAATTAAACGTAAGATAACAAAATTATTAAATCTAAAAAAAAATTTAAAAAAAAACAATAAATATATTCCTAAAGTGAATGAGAAGAGATTTAATTTCGGCGCAAGTGCAGTGATTATTACTGAATGTGCAATAATGTTGTGCAGTAATGAGAATATAAATTGCAGTAATTTTAATTGGACGAAAATAGTGCAAAATCCACATATTTTAAATAAGGGCATTTTCTTCATTCAACATTTAAATAAATATGAGATTTTCTTTTTTTTGTTGGGATTTTTTGTCATACAAAAGTCCAAACACTAGTTAGGTGATAGATTGGAAAATTCATTGAGTTTTAGTCATACATATCTTAGGAAATTTCCCTATATTAAGCCCATCTTATAGATTAGGCATAGATTACGTGCAACCTTATATAGACATCGACATCCACAACTCCACGAATCCTCTCAATTCGTAAAACCAGGAGTAGGAATCCACCTGCTTTGGTTGAAGAACAAGACTGAAAAGGGTTTG